TTTTTTGGTTCGGGGAGTATGGAGGTGGTTCCAGTGGGTGGCTGGGTGGTTCGGTGGTTGGGTTGTTGGGTGGTTGGGTGTTTTGTGGGTGGTTCGTTGGGGTCGCGATTTATTGATGACGTCGACGTCGACGCAGACGACGACTGCGCTGCGACGACCGTGTTAATGTGTTTGTTGCTCTCTGGCATAAAATTATGTTTTATTTTATTTAACATGTTCTGCCTCGATTTTTGGCAGTCCTTGTCATAATTCCCATGAATGTGCCGAGGGTGTGAGCGAGAGGGCCCGATAGGTCCTGGGCGAAAGGAAGTCCTTTTTTCTGGCTCGAGTGCTAGGCAACAACAACAATCGCCGACAGTTGTGCGCTCACGATGATGATGGAAGTAATGATGATGTTGGTATGTTGGCAGAGGCTGCTTCATTGGGTTATGCTTATGGGTTTGTATTTGGGTTTGGGTTTGAGTTTGGGTTTGAGTTCAGGCCTCGCACTCACACACGAGTGGCTAAAATCCCTGGGTGATTGTACAGTGGCCACTCGTTAATTAAGATTTAAAGAATGTATTTCAAGTACATTGCAATTACTAAACTCGTAAGAACTTTTGCTTAATTTTTGTAAATGTATTTTTTTAATATTACATTAATTGCTTATTTACATATGCTTAAATAATATTATGGTGATCAATGGCTGTTAAAATTGGAAATGCGTCAAACTTTGATAATGCTTACGAATCCAATCTTGAGTTTTTAATGTGTAACATGTAATATTTTTAATTTCTTCGATTAAAAAGAGGTAGAATATAAAATAGAAGGTTCGGAATAATTTTGACCACATTTTTATTGGTCTGCTTAGGAGAATGTTTGTTGATAATACTGCTAGTTTATAGAACTTAAAATTGTATGTAAAGCCCATGATAAGCAGTTGAGGTGATAAACAAATATGTATCTTAAAGATCTTTATAGTTCCTAACTTGTATCAAAAATACAAGCAATGCACTTTAGGATCCTTAAGGTGTAAAATCAGATATTCGAGGGATTACTGTGCTCATGAGTGTGCCTTTGCACCGTGTGTAAAAGGAAGTGTACAGCGTTGTAGGCCGTCGTCGTCGTCATCGCTTGCTGTTGCTGCTGCTGCTGTGCTGTGCTGATGTTGCTGATGTGCTGATGTTGCTGCCGTTGTTCGCAGAATGGTTGTTGCTGCTGCCGAGGGCGAGGGAGGGACAATGGGTCTGTTTGTCGCTCGGTACCCGGTTGCCGGTCCTCTGCCTTTTGCCCCCGCCCCTGCTTTCCTCGAGCTGCTCTCCTTTCCCTGCATTTCCCTCATCCTGCGAGTATCTGTATCTGTATCCGCATCTGTATCTGTGTAAATGCGTTGGTTGTTGGCTTGTTTCGTCGTACCTCCCCCTCGCCTCATACCTCACCTCATCCCGCTTCGTGAGTGTGCGTGTGTTGTGTGTTGGTTCCTGTGCCTGTTCCTATTCCTGTTACTTTTGCTGTGACGGCGACGGAGACCCGAGCACTGCCCATACAGGGTGTCCCAGGATTTGCGGGGGTGGGCAGGACTATTAGCTAATGATAAGGCTAAAAGTTCACCACAGAGTGTGTCTATATGGAATATTTCCTGAGTTTTGGGAAATTTAAAAACAACTATTTAATTTAAAATATCCTTTTCTGTCTTGCCAAAAAGAAATTACCTTTAAATTATTTTTTCTTTTGCATAGAAATTGAATTTTATTGTATTGTATTTAATTTTGTAAATATTGGTAGCTTGTAGAAAAAACTAACTAATTTATTTTAAAAATACCACACAAAATGTCATTTAATTATAACTTTGTTAAGTTCCAAACTAATTTTCTAAGCCCTTTTTTTTAATCGAATTCAGTTTGACTAACTTATCTAAATCTATAATTTATTTTTTTGTGCCATGCAAAATATGATTTCAAATTATGATCCCACTTTAAAATGCATAAAATGATTTAATAATGATTGAAGCTAATTGATTAAATGCTTTAAAATCGCATAAATCTTTAATCGTCACCCATAACTTGTCTGTATAACTGGCTTACGAATCACCCTGTTCTGGCTGCCAAAAGCGGCTGTAAAAACAATTTAATGCATAAAACGACAAAAATCTGGTTTTCACAAAAACCAAAAACCCAAACCAGCAGCAATAACAAAAGCAAGCGACGAAAGCGCTGCCACCAGTTGGTGGGGCAGAGAAGGGGGGAGGGGGGTGGTTGTCCCGAGGGGGAGTTAGGAAGTTGATGTTGCTGCTGGAAGAAGAACTCAACGGCAGCAACAGCAATAACAAGAGGAACAACAGCAACTACACCAACGGCAGCAGCAACACTCATGGCAGCAACAACATAAGCAACAGCAACACCAAAGCCAGCAGCAGCAACAACGACACTAGCAGCAACAGCAACACCAACAACACCAGCAACATCAACAGCAAATGTTGAGATTACACTAAAAGTAACTGCCAACGGGAGCAGCGACGTCGGCAGCGGCAGCAGCAGCAGCAGAATGCAACGCATTTGCAGAGTGCAGCACTAAAATCAATTATGTAGCCAGCGCAGCAGCAACATCGCAGTAGCAGCAACAGCAACAGCAGCAACATCAGCGACTGCAGCAGCAGCAGCGTGAAAATAGTAGTGAAAAAAAGAGAAATAGCAAAGCAGCAGACGAAAGCAAAAAAAGTGGAAAGGGGGCGGGGTGGGAGGCGTTGGGTGGAAAAAGGGGGAGGAGAAGGCGGAAAGTAGGGAAGGCAAAAGAAAGGGGGGGAGGAGGGGTGGTTGGAAAGTGGGCGGGCAGCGGGCGGAACAAGTGTCTGTTTGTCGCTGCGTCGGTCAGTCGGCAAATATGTTGCGCATTTGTGAGCGAGTGAAAGAGAGGGCCATATGCTGTGCGATAGAGACGGCGCATCATCGTCAACTGCTGTTGTAACTGTTGTTTTGCTGCCACTCTTGCTGTTTTTGTTGTTGTTGTTGCTGTGGGGTGGCTGGGCGGAAAACCGAATGCTAGTAAAATGCGTGCAAAGGCAAAGCCAAAGGCAAAAAAAAGAAAAATTGCAGGCGAAAAGCGAAATACACTTATAAAGCGATTATATTTTGACTTATAGAGGGGAATTGTAAATATAATAGCTCCAAAATCAGTTTCCAATTTGAAGTATTGGGTACCTTAAGGAAGGATAAGGAATATTTTTATATAATAATTCTCAAATATTAATAGATATTCTGCCCTACCAAATTAGAATCTATAGAAATTTAAGAACCCTAACTGAAAAATGTCCCAAATTTAAGATAAATGTAAATATTAAAACATCACATTCTGTGTATTAGCTTGCTGATATAGAATCATCTATACATATTTTGACTGAATTTATGTTGAAATTATATTATTATATATAACTCCATATATATATAATTATAGTTAGGATCTATGATGATTGTTTAAATTTTATAGCTTAAGATATAATATGTAGAGTACAAAAAAAATCACCCACAAAAAGCTAAAGCCAAAAGCAGCAGCAGTAAACGATGAACTTTGCTGGCTGCTTTTGTTGTGGATGGTTTGGGTCTAAAGCAGACACCTTTCCACGTGCAGGTCGGTACCCCTCAGCCCCTGGAAGACCCCAAGAACCTCCCCCCCCCCCTCCCACCACACTTTTGGGGTCTGCAGAAAATAATCAGCGAAAAACGTAGGAGAAAAAGAGCGTGCAAAATTATGCTGAGTGCTTGGCTGGCTGCCACACAAAGTGAAAGAAAGGCAACGACAACGACGACGTCTTCACCGCCCCCTCGAACCCCCTTTCTCGGTCCCCTTTTGGCCGCCCCTGGACAGCCCTCTACCCTCTAGGCTCTCCTTTACACAAGAGTAGCATAAATACGAGAAAAAAGGCAGAGAAAGAGGAAAAATCAAGGAGGAACTTGGGGTGGTGCAGGGGCGTCGGCGATGAGGGGGGCTCTTTGCCGGCAGATACTTCGAGATTTCGTTGCCCCCCCGCCACACCACTGGTTTTCATGCATTTTATCAGTCGACGCTGACGATTTTCTTGTCGTTTTTATTTTTATTATTTTTTTTCTCTCGCTCTTTGCTCGGTTTCGTTTATGATTTTTTTTTTGCCTCTGCTCTGGTGTTGGGTTTTTGTTTTTATTTGGGTTTCGTTTTGGGATCGGGCAAATGTATCTGTATCTGTATTTGTATCTTTATATGTGGCGCTGATGCGGCTGTTGTTGTTATTCTTGTTGCTGTTGTATCGCTTTTGTATCTTTTAGCGCTGTTTTGAGTTAAGCAATTGATGGATATGGTTTATTTATAACGCTTGGCGACCGAAACCGAACCGAACTGAACCGAACCTCATCATCCTCTCCATCGCATCGCCAACCTCATCATCGTCATCGGAATTCCGACGACGTCGAGCAGCTCGCACAATGAGTGCGGACGTGTATCTGAGTATCTGCAAGATACCCATACTCATACCCATTCCCGTACCCGTACTCACTCGCTCGCTCGCTGGCTGCGTTCGATAAACGTAAGCGTAATAATATTTTATTGAAATTTGTTTTCTTGCCTGTACTTGCCTGGCTCTCTCCTGCCCTCACCACTCTCTCCGTGTATTTTCTTTTCGTTTCGGGTGCACGGAAAAGAAAATTAAGAGATTATGATCTTAAAAATTAAAGTTTAGGACTTAGGTAAATTAATAATAGGGCTTATACCAATTTGCAATAGCTAGAATCGTCTTCCAAGTGGTAAAAAATTCGTACAATGGTTCATAAAAACTCTTAAATTTTTAAAATTTTATTTCAAATATTATTTAGAAAGGAAGCTGTTAAAAAAACCATTTTTAAAATATATTTGTGTTTAAAATGTTATTTAATAAATGCATTTTTTTTAAGGACAGTAATTTTTGAATTGATTTCTAAAATCATATATTTGAAGTCATAAAACAAATAAAAAAACAAAAACAAAACTATTTTCCAATGAGAAAATGCTTTATAAAATAATTAATATGGTTTAATGACAAATTAATTCAAAAGAAATAAGTAGGCATTGTGTTCAGTGATGGGGACTGTGGGGACTGAGGGGGCTTCATTTCTTTTGTCGCTGCTTGCTTTTTTGCGCTCCGCTATAAGTATCTGTTGGATAAATATGAGGTTAAAGCGCTGCCTGCTGCCTGCTGCCGTCTGTCGGCCTGTAGTTTCTTCACTTCACTTCAGTTCAGTTCACTTGCATCTGTATCTGTATCTGTCCCTGTATCCGCATCTGTAGTATTTGTATCTGTACCTGCAGCTGTAGTAATACCATACTATACTATACCATACCCGAACTCAAGCGCGAACCCAAACCCGCACCCGTATCCGTATCTGCATCTGCATCGGTGTGTTTTTCGTTGGGTCTCTGGTCTGGAGTCGAGTGCAGCGCATTTTGATTGTTCGCCTGCTCTTTTGATGAAAACATAAATATCACAACGCCGCCGAGAGAAAAGAGCCCGAAAAAGAAGCCTCAAGACATCCAAGAAGTGGATGAGGATGAGCTACATGACGACGATGATGATGATGATGGTTTCCACCATCGGAATTTCTATTTAGCTCTCTCGATTCCTGTTCTCGCATTCGGAATGAATGAAAATGTTTTTCCCATTTCCCGCTCTCTTTTCTTTTCTTTTTTTTTTTTTGGTATTGTGAGAGTTACAACTTCTGGGGTTCTGGGTGTTCTGTTTTTCGTGTTTTCCGAGTGCGGTAAATTGATACGGCAATGGTGGCTTAACACTGGGCGTATGACTTCTCTATTAATAAGCCCAATGAAAGCCACAGAAAATACCATTAGGCCTGGGGATATTACTGCAGGCAGGCTTAATAGTGTTAAATTAGGTTTTATTGAAGATTAAAATGGGTTTTGAAGGTTTGACAGAGAGATTTAATATCGAAATGTTCGAAAATTGGATTATTTGAAGATTTGATTTTAGATTTTGTGCAACAAGAGGACATATTAAGGCATGAGGGTTAAAAATTATTCTATTAGTTTTTAAACCTAATTTTGGGAAAGCAATGAAAGGGTTTATATATCGATCTTATGTCCACAAATTGATGTCATGGTAAATTGTTTTACTATAAATTGAAACCAAGAAAAGTCATCCTAAATCTCAATGTGTTGTTCATATTTTTAGTATTTTTGGGAGAGTTTATACTTGATCGAATGTTTTAATAAATTAAACAAAAAGAATAGTTAAAAAAAAGGTTGAAGGCACATAAAAGTTTAAAAAAAATTTAAAATATTTATTAATGTTTTAATATCATATTAGTTCATCGATAACAAAACAAGGAGTCTCTTTTGTTTTCAAATTAATTATTTCGCCTACAAGAAATGATTGAGCATGACTAAAAATAAATCCAATATCAGGGAGAAATCCCATAAATTTTGGGCGAGTGAGAGGGCAGTACTTCCTCCCCTTCATGACCCCTTTTTATGACCTCTCCTCGAATAACTTAATAATTATTCATGCAGTTACCCGACGCAATTACAACAAAAGTGGATGCCACATGCCCACGCTTCAAAAGAGCAACAACAACAGCGATAAATAAAAACAACGATCAACAACCAACAAACAACCAACAACCAACAACAACGAGAAAAGTGCGTTGTACATAAACGAAATCGAAACGAAACGAATAATAAATGAGGGGAAGAAGGAACGACAATACTTTATATAGTTGAATGACTGAACGAACCCGTCAACCACACCAACAACGAAAAAATTAACACACAAAAAATACTTATGCGCAATAACAACAACAACAACAACAACAACAAGGGGCCCTCTTCGCCAACCAAATTACCTTAAAAACACCAAACAAGCTGAACAAAAAAATGGAAAACACAAGCCAACAAAAAATCTGAAAATAAAAATACATTAAACGAAATAAGATGAATACCAAACAAATAAAAAATTTATGCGTTGCACTTGGTTGGCGGGAGGGGGATGGGGATAGAGGGGTGCGACAGGGACAGAGTGAGGGATTGTATAAATGGAGGCGAGCGAGAAATTATGCCACAATCAAGTACAACACTACAACAACAGAAACAAAAACAACAACAAACAGAGAGGAAAATTCCCCCAGAAAAGTGCGTGGCAATGGAAAAACCAAAGTTAGAGATGGTTTCGTGATAATATTGTTATGGATCAATTGAAGAAAAATATCTCCTGGTAGAGTTAGGGAAATTCTAAAAATTATAGTATTTTTGTATCCTTGAAAATGTAATAAGTATTTTTAAGACATAGATAATAGATAAAAAGATAGTAGGTCCATAATATGTTGTATTTATGTTTTTAAAATATGATTTTAATATCATAAGTAAATCCAATAATATGCATTACAGAAATCTATTATAATGAAATTTTATTTTTTGATATACAAATTTGTATTCTTTTTTGAAGAAAAGATCTTATGGATGTTAATGGAATATGGCTTTTAAGAAAAGATAAATAGTAATAAAAATTGTACACCATTTTAAACTTATAGCCCAAGTACAGCATACAATTTTATCCCAATTTAACAAATTATATGGTGAGTGATTTTTCTTTATCACCTAATAGAGGCAATCCAAACAAACCCTTAACTTCCCACCCTCAAAAATCACTGGCGTCATCGAATAATCCACTCACGCTGTCATCGCCCAAATGGATCAGACAATTTGTGATCATATCATAGCGGAGACTATAATACATAGTAGAGCAGATCACCTCCAAAACGCACACAAACAGAAGGCAGATGACGATGGTGTTCATCTCCCGTTCCCATCGCGATGATGATCATGATCAGCGGTCAATGATAATTCCATTTTGTTTTGTTTTTGCGTTTGCATGCGACGCTGAATCGGAATCGGAATCTCAATCTGAGTGACTACCCAACTGTTTGCCTACGAGCTGATGTATCTGTATCTGAGTATTTTTCTGGGTATCCGTGTATCTCTGTATCTGAGCATCGGCTGGGGCAAAACAAGATGCTGCTGGCTGCAGTGGAAGATGCTCGAATGCAATCCGCTGTCTGCTTACATTCCATAGATACACAAAAATAAAATGCGGCTATGATAAATAATAAAATCCGAAAAAGACAAGCGATGGCAAACGGGACCAATGCAGCTGGGTCAGGTAAAAATCAGTCCAACCCTTTCCACTGTTTTCCACTTCGGTGAAGTGAAGTCCTCCCCTAGCCCACGAAAAGCATTATCTTTCATCATAATAAACGGAGATAGCACTTAGGTTGGGCAATTACCAATAGGCGGCAACACCTCGACGCGACTTCACTTTGGCGTCTAATTGCTTAACAAAAGCTTCAATTAAACACTTCAAAGAGCTTATTACAAACCAATAAACCGCACCACTCACCAAAGGGAAGCTCGGGGCGAAAGAATCCGCAGTTCCTCAGGCGGAACGACTGTGAATGTCAAGGATACGCCACAGATACAGATACAGATATAGATAGAGATACAGATATACGGACACGCATTTCACAGATACACTCGCGGAACAAAGAGAGCACGCTCCACTCCATTCAAGTCCACTCCATCGATGTTCTGGATGGCCTGGAATATCGCTTTACACACATGATATAAGTGTCATGACTGCGTGGCCCGATAATTGTCTGTTTTGTCTGCTGTTTGTTGACTGCCGCTCAGTCCCTCCGTGTCCTTAGTCCTCTGCTCCTGCGGCTTCTGCTTATCCTACCTAACCAGCCTATCCTACTCATGATGGTGACGGTGACGCAGTTGTGCCTACTCGAGGCTTCTGTTGTTTCCCGCTTGACAAAAGGCCTCGAAACCTCTTTGGATGCCTACGACGAACCGATGGCCCTGTGCGGTTCGGTTTTAGTGGTGACTGATCCTATCTACACTCGGAAAAATACCAGTTTTAAGTAGGGTATAACAATCTTTTAGTAAAGACAGGGGAATTCGATTATACTAAACCATTTCTACCCATTATAATTTGTTAAGATTAAGAGGGCTTTTTATTGAATTATTTAAAAAGCAACTTTCAAGACAATAATTATTTTCATTTTTATAATATATAAAATCATATAAATTACATTATATAAATAAAAAAAATGAAATAGCCTAGTTACTGGAACAATCTTATTTATACCATATGTAGTTCATAACGGAGAATATTACTTACTCTTTTAAATTTTTATTGAAAGTTTTTTGATGTCAAAAACAAATATCTATAGCATTTTTATTAGTAATACCTATATACGATACCAAGATTCTTTTTCCTTTTAGTGCACTCATATCTTTGTCTTTGGTGGTGGCTTTACTACTTTCTACCCGTCTTTCACTTCTTTCTTCCCTTCGTCTTCCGCTTTTTTGATCACCCCTGGGTAGCGTTTTATTGGACTCTTAGCGGTTCCTAATGTGCATCCTGTTGCGCTCTCACCAGCGATATAAACAGGGTGTCTTATCGGAGGAACATCCTTGTTTGACTACCTGAACAACTTCCGGCTTAGAGGCAGTCCTCATTCGTTTTCATACATCTCCTGCTCTGACTCATTTGCATGATGATGAGAGGGCGAGGGGTAGATCATGACAGCGAAACGGAATCTCTTTCAAGTCAAAGCTCAAACTCGAAATTATTTGAACAACAATCATCATAATCACAATAATAACTTCCCTGCGTCGCACATGTTTGCCCGAGTGTAAGGGTTAAATGTCCTCGTTGAGGTGTGGGTTGTGCACACCCCTTCCACCCCTCCTTTAGCATCTTTTGCCAGCAGCCCCTGGTCTGGTTATGCTTTTGGCGTTGGGGTTACTTCGGGGTTCATAATGCCTCCTGCCTCCTGCCTACTTTGAACTCTTTTTGCGTCACCGTTTGTGATTAAATAAACCAAAAAAAGCAGTAGGATATATGTGTATATAAACACATGGCCATATACTTATATGTATACCTAGAAATTCATGTATTTTTATTTGAGCTTTTACTTTTCATCAGTTTTGCTTGTTTTGTTGTCGAAGAAATCCTTTTCTCTTTTTTTCGCTTCCTTTTTATGGTGCGTACAGAAAATACGAACCTTTTTTTGTGCAGTAGGTTTGGGGTGTGGTGTCCCCGAACACACGCCAAATGTAACCTCAAAGGGTTAAACACGCAAAACGCAAAAGCTAAAAAAATTGGAAAAAAATAAATACAAAATAGAAGGGCCAACAAAATATGAAAAGCAATAAGCAACCTTGGTTGGGGGGTAAGGGGAATTAGTATTCAAGAGACGGAGAGTTGGCCGATTTCAATCTAGAACATATGCAAGGAGTGAGCCTTGAAGAGTTACCCTATAAAAAGGAGAATACAGAATTGATATGGGATTCAAAAAATGAGAATTGGAAGCATTCATTTAAAGTCATATATCTACCGCATAGTTCCACATTATTGTGTCAAACAGAAGCCTTAAAAAATCACCCATTTACCTTTTGGACCTCCATCCCAAAGTAATAAATTATTCATCTATCAAGCAATTTGTATAGCTCCCGATCCTGGATCCGTCTCACTTAAGCCAATTCAAAGCAACTTCATGCCTTGCTCAAAGCTCAATTCATAACCAATTCTGTCTAAACAAACATTTAGATTGGAATCTTTCCAGGAATTCCCTAACCAAAGGGGTGTTTGTCTTTCCCATTGTTCCGCTTCTCTCTACATTGCTACGCGGTGAGATCGCTTCATTATCATTGAAATCGTTGGCATTATCAGATAATTAGATGGAACAATTGTCTCATTTATCTACACCAAATAACGTGTTGTATGTCAGGGTCTTACCTAACCGAGAGACCCGAGAAAAAACCCCATCTCCCTCCCTCCCAGCAACCCTCTTTCTGCGTTCTTGTGTTGGGTTTTCAGTAAATTTGTTTGCTAATAGAATTTGAAAAGAACATTTGCCACGGAGGATAAGTC